TATGAAAAACTCTATATTACGCCCTTTTACTGCCTTTGCTAACGTGTTTAGAAGTAGCTTGATTTTAATCACACCTTACATCATTATGCAACATCATTGTGTCCAAAGAGACTGACAGTCACACTGTTGCTTGACAATACAAGTGTCAGAAAAATTTCATTGGTCTACCCAGGTTATTTTTGTCAAGGTATGCAAGTAAAAGAGGTCCAGAAGTCATAATCTGATCCAAAGAGTTTTAGCAGTCAGAGATAAAATATCCCTCTAGAACTTGATGCCTCACTGCCACTGGAAAGGCTCTCACCATCAACAAGGAAGGCTGGCTCAGGTCCAGAGGGCGTAACTGGGTGAATACCGGCATACAGAGATGTACCTCTATGGGGCAGTAACAGGAGAAAGTCTCCAGACCTTTAATGAATAAAATAAAATAATATAATTAAATAAAATAATAATAAAATGATGAAGTAAGGGGAGGGAAGGGGGAGGGGGGAGGGGAGGAGAGGACAGGCAAAGGAAAAACAGAAGCTGGGTGTGGCATTAGGTTCTGATACATGGTTCTAGTCAAGGTTAAAACACGAAAGCAAGTCATTTCTTCTTGCAATATTTTTTCCAGTAATCTTTTAAGTCAAGTAATCATTCACAGTACCCAGTGAAATCAGAGTTACTCCTAGTTTTGTCCGTATTTAATTTGCCTTATTTTGAGATGAGTCAGACCCTTTTCATCTTCATGGTGAAGGAAAGCCACATAGTACAAAAGTAACACAGTTCAGAACATAAATAAACAACAAATCTTAGCTCCTCCTTGCATAGGTCTAAATAAAGGATGTTATGATATTAGAAGATGCAGCTCTGTGAGCCAGGAAAAACCTGAAATAGTAAAGAAAGAAACGTACCATCCATTACACAAGCAGGCATGCAAATGGAAACTTCCTGGTGATAAATCTTTCCCCAGTGAAACTCTAAGAACAAGCTCAGTCTCACAGCTATTGCCAGTCCTGGTGACAGCTGCTTGGACAAGGCTCCCATTGTGTTAGTAAAGTCAAAGCCAACTTTATAAATTTGCATTGAGCTGACCTGCTAGTTCCCATCTGAACAAAGTGCTACCTCAACTCATAGACCATGATGTAGTCTCACTTTGCCCAGAAGACAGTTTCCAAAGCAAACAGTCAAGTTTCAATTTATGTAGAGAACAGACGTACAAATTGTCTAGTGACCTGAGGTGAAATGAGGAGAAAATAAAAATTTTCGTCAGCCAAAATATATTTCCATTTCAATTTGTTACTTGTAGCAGACCTAGATATGTTTCTTTCACTTTGGTTTCAAAGCTTCAGACAAGTACCAGGAAGATTAGCACAGATAAATATCAAATGACTTGTTCTGTGGTCTTACACATTCACTGAAATTAAGATGAGTCAACACAGCCAGGAGGCTAACATGCATCAGTCAAAATCATTTGTTTCTAGATATATATCTTATAAGCAATAGACTAATACCAGATGGATTCTTTTTGATCCTTACTCAATCACCTCTCAACTCCTTTGAAATTTCATTCAAAAAACTTGTATCACTCATCAGCACTCAAGATTTGCAGTCTCTCCTGTGTTTCTCTTGTTCAGAAACAGCTATCCCAATCTAAGTCATTCAGGGAGTTGGAATAGATAATAGCCAGAGATCTCTTCCAACACCTATAATTCTGTGATTCTGTGAAATAATGTAGATCAAGACTAAAAAGCTTTCACTGAACACGGCACAGTCTTCATTAACACTGTATAATTCAGTATTATCTAGCAAGAATAGTGGGCCCATGTAAAATGATACATATATTTAATTTAAGGGGCATCAAAACGGATTTTCTTTAACTGCTCTCAAGGTCTTCTTCCCTATAGTCCTAAGGTAATTAGATTGGTTTGTGATTTCTATCCTGGGAGATTAAAAGAAGGAGGAATAGAATGATGGCCCTTTCAAACTCCACTTTCTAAATCTCTCTATGCTCTTCAAAAGTTCAGAAACATACTTGCCCATAGTCTCTGAGACAAAGCTAAATGTGATATGTCCAAAATAAAAATACATTTTTTTAAAAAAGAACATATTCAGAAGCCTCATCAAGCTAAATGGTAATTATGCCCAAGACATATCAATGACATTTGATGAACAGTTTAAATGGGCTGGCATTAAATTAGCATTAATGACATTAAATAAGAGAGCTTTAGGAAGTATTTACATCCACCAGAACAATCCAAGATCTGTGAGAATGGTGGATTTGGTATCATTTTATCTTGATATTTGCATTATGATGCTTATCCAGTAAAGTTGTTGAAATTATGTTCCGTGTGCAGGTTACATAATAATTGTGGTTTGAGGATGGCTGTTTATTTCCATGCTATTCTTCGCAAAATAAACTCTGATCTCTTCTAGACTCTTCTATGCAGCTGTCCTGACTTGATAACACTTACCAAGAGAACATGCTTGGAACACAAGTTTCTAGAGTTGCTAACTCTAGAATGCCCTATAATAAAAGCACAAGCTAGATATTTGCCTATTCAATTGCCTAACAAGTAACAACTCCCTCCAGACACTTGTTCTGCAACATCCTTGTGCATCCAATGGCAAAACCTCCGAAACTGGTTGAGATGTAAAGATACTCATAACCAATTCAGAAGTGAAGCATTCTGAATTGGGTTTTCTACCATTATATAGAGAAGATAATCACTTGCAGAATTGGAGTCTAGATCCATGTACATCTTGCCAACAACCTGAACAGCACAGTGTTTAGGAATGTTTGGACTCTGGATTTGTATGTAGGTTGTTTACAAAGAAAGTAGCCATTGCTCAAAATTATGGAAATGTAGATTTCATTTGATAACATGATTTCCTCATTAGTGCACTCAAAACACAGCAAAAGCTTGAAGTAACAAAACAAAAGCTTAATAAAGAGCATAAACAAAACTAACAGGAATTCCTCTAGGCCGAATGTTAAAATAGAGCCAAAACTATTGAAATCTCCGGAACCCAGACAGCGCCTAACTAGTTCACAAGTTCATTCAGGGTAGGGAAGGGGGGAAATGTGGTCAGACACTCCTGTCATTTTAAAGAATATCTGTGAAATTTTGACAAATAAGACAAATGTTCTCATTCAAATGCACCACCAATTATTTTAACTTACTTCCTCTTCATGTCTGGACTTCAGCTGCCTGAAAGACTAAAATATTTTGTCCCACAAGCATTTCTGGTGTATTGATTTATTTGTATTCTGCCCTTTCCCCCCCCCTCAAAGAGGTATTCCTATTTTAGATTTGACCATCTGAATCCATAAGCAAAATAAGTTGTCATCAGAGCACGCTTTTCACAAAGCCCTTACAATCAGATAATTCTCCTCTGTGCCACCAAGCTGTTTCGTATTGCTCATACAAATGTCAATGCCTTTCGAGGAAGTTCTAAACTGTGGCCTCTGCCAAATAGTGACCTAAGGAGAACTTCTATTAAGCTGTCTCTCCTCTTTGCATTTAGCTAAAATTAAGCTACTTTCAACAGATCAACAACAATCCTGAGTTAACAGAGTGCGAATCAGAATGTTTTTGCCATGAACAGACTGGAAGATAGAAAGAAAATGGGCTACCTCCTATACTTCTAAATTAAAACTGCATGATATCTTATTGTGGTAACGCTGATTAGTTGCCACATTTTAGAGACGTAAACTGTTTCTGTTCTAACCAAGTACCCGCTATACAGTTTTGAACATTGGCAATTCAGATCTGTTTTTCAGTGTGTTCTTCCTTCTCCCAGTAAAGACTGTTCTGCTTTGATTGAGATTCAGGACTCATTTTTAAGCATTAGTCTCATTCAGAGATGAATGAATTCACAAGAAAAGAAAGATCATCAGAAGTTATAACATTAACCCAAAGTGCACTTCTGCAGAGAGCATTGCTCGGATGACGACAGGACAGAAAACAGGCTCTCTGGTTTACTGCAGCCATGAAGTTACGCTTGGCACTGCACACCACAGCCTGTTTTTAATCTCCACAGAGGAAAGCCAACACCATCTTTCACATGGGCTTAGTGTTGTAAGAGTTCTCTTTTTATAAATGTCCAGAGTCATTTCAGGGTTGGTGCTAAATAAAGCAGGCAGCAAGAATGTAAACTACTGCCTGATGTTTTGTTTTGCTACATATAGCCACCAGGAAAAGTGAAATAATTCAGAATCCCCAGAGTATAAGTGAGAAAGAATCTGCAGTATAGCTTTGTCTTATTTTGGCTATGCAAGGAAAAAGAAACATAAACCATTCTCAGACTGCACATCAGTGCTTCTCAACCAATGCCCATGCGAAACCTGGTGTCAATGTCATCCCTGAACATGTTACAAAGCACACAGTTTTCCAGGGAACTGAGAGAACAGAAAAAGCTAAACTGAGGTATCATTCCTTTATCTGAGCAAAGTTACCAGTTCCACTTACTTATTTCAATTACTGCCTGAACTTTAGAAAGAAACATTAGAGCCAAACACTTTCTAGCTTCAATTGCATTGATGCAGTTTTATCTGCCCAGCACTTTCTCTCTTAGGAGCTGTGTTAGGCACTTCTCACCTCCTTTTTTCAGGTGTAAGTACTTGCAAATCTAAATGGAAACAGTCATGTATTTAATATTCTTCTGTGCAATTTACATGCAGGATCTAAAAGATCTTCAATGGCAAAGTAATAGTTCAGCAGCTTTTATAGAGATGTAGACATTATCCTCAGAGTCACGTACTAGAGAAACTGAGAATGTATGAGTTAGAAGAAATTTCCTCCTTGCCGAACCATATATTAGTTGCAGCAATGCTGGAACTGCAGTGCCTGCTCTGAACTTACTGTACTGCTTCCAAATGGCAGACCTTCTTCCATTTCTATTGGTCCCTTTGCAGTCTGGTCTCATTATTTCAACTTTCCTCTCCAACAGACAGCAGATCAAATTCTCTCATTTTCAGTCACATTAATCTGCAGTTACTTCATACATCTCCATGATGTTCTGACAGGTTCCTACCACGTTGACCAAAAAAAAAGGTTCCCACTTGTAAATGGTCTGAAAACATAAGTTACAGAGAAACAGAGTGTTAATTCCAATTCCTGTTTGGGTCAGTGGGAATTCTGTCACTGGTTTCAGAAAAAAAAACAACACTGGTCCACATGTATTAAGTAAGCCCAATGCAAGTCAGTTTGTATCCATCTGGCAGGAGAACAAACCAACTTCTGCTTTCAGCCACTGCTATACAAATCCCTTTATTTTAATGTTGCCCCACACTCCCTAATTCATTCTCAACAGCCCTCCTATTTGATTTAAAATAACACTCAGATCTGTCTCCTGCTGCTTCTACCTTCATCAGCATGACCTGAACTCCCTCCTTAACTCTGTGTAATACTTGCATTTATTTGAAAGAAAGGTAGAGTGATATCTGTGCTGACGGCTAGAATAGTTATAAGGAGATGTGGCAAACAAAATCATATACCCTATCCAAAATTATAGTTGGGTTAAGTCTCCTCAAGGAAAAAATGAATATGATTACATTAAAACTACTGGTTCCTTTTTGCACTGTTTTTTTTTCCTCTATGTGTCTTCTTGAAATTCAGAATACTTCACTAATGTCTGTTGCGGATGAGTCTATTTCACAGACGGAATGGAATGGAATGATAGAAAGAAATGGAATATCTTGAGTTCAGTGGATTGAGTTCGCCTCCTGTTTCCACACAGGACCATCCAAACATCAAAACCTATGCCTGAGAGAGTTGTTCAAACACTCCTTGAATTCCATCAGCTTGCGGCCATGGGGAACCTGTTCCAGGGCCCGACCACTCTCTAGTGAAGAACCTGAAGAACCTCTTCTTAACACCAACCTGACCTTCACCACACCTCCATGTCATTCCCTCAGGTAATGTCACTCAACAGAGAACAGAGATCAGTGCATCCCCTCCACTCCCCTCATGAGGAGCTGCAGGCCAGTAGTTCATGAGGTGAGGCTGTGCTTGCACAGAGCAAAGCAAGACAATCCCTTCCTTTAACCAGCTAACAGTGCTGGGTCTGAGGCACTCCAGGGTACTGTCGGCCCCTTTGGACCGCCAGAGCACACTGACTCATATTCATCTTGCCTTCAAACAACATCCTTTCTGTGAACCCTGGAGAACTCCACTAGTGACTAGTGACGGCATGACAACATGCCGTAACTATTTACTATAACTCTTTGAGCCCGACCCATCAGGAAACTGCTCACTCGTTCTCATGATGTAAGTTCAAATATATTAGAATTGAACATGTTAAGATGTTTAACACTTATTAACATTTATTCTAAGTGGTGGTTTAGAATACAAAGATGCAATGTTAAGTAAGCACTATTCTAACCATGTGAAAAATTGCAAATATCAACGAGTGAGAGAAAAGGCTATGTTTGAAATCTCTTTATGGAGATAATGTAAGTTTGTGAATTCAGATCACAATCTATGTGTTTGTGTGTTAGAGAGGTATACTAGAGAAATATTATGTGTTAGGGAGAAAATATTTAAATGCTAGAAAGCAAATAAGGAATTATTAGACCAATACAGCCAAAAATGAAAATGTTCACTGGATGCTAGAATATTTCTGCATAGAATATGGAACAGGCTTTGGAATTGCAGTTTGCTGCTCTTTTGAGGAAAAATGCTGTTTCATCTTCTGTTTGAGTTGATTAATACCTCCCGAAAATTTGGCAGGCTAATCATGATCATTTTTAATCCAGTAATTCACAATTATTTCCCTTAGGGATGAGTATATCAGTTCATTACCTAATGATAATCTGACAGATGAATATGCTGTTAAGTAAGAAAAGATTTTATAATATGAAAAAGTGTCCACTTTTTATATGTTTATGAATCCTTAAGTGTGACTTCTAGGTTATGAAAAAGGAGGAGCTAAAGAATGCTTTGTACCAAGTGGAAAGAAAATGGACCCATGCTAGGGAATAAAATAAAACAAAATGGGAGATTTGTCTTAAGAAGTTGACCCTTCCAAGAAATGGAGGGGGGAGGAGGGAAGGAGATCGGCAAGGACATCGGAAAATACAACTTCCAAATGGTCTTGGATGCTTCTCAAGGGAAATAAGGAGCTGCAAATAGATGTGAGGACAAGTGGCAACAAGTCTACAAGACTTTTTTTTCCCTCAGGAAATGATGGAATATTATTTATGGGCGGTGAGCCAGAAGAACAGTTCTTACCACCAGTTCTTACCAACCAGCTAGTTCTAATCAACACAGTTATGGGGATGGGAGCGTAAAAACAGAGATAAAATAAATACTAAAGGTGATTGCTACAATGACCAATCACAAGTCAGTCAACTTTCCTGAATACCCACTAACATAACTGGAAATGGATTTATGAATTGCCTATCAGCAATTAACATATACAGCTTGAGTATTCCCAAGTTGAAGCATAAAAATAGGGCAAAAGGAGGCTCACATCAAGTGTATGCATACAAATAAAGAACTGCTAAGAAAATAGCACTCTGAAGCAAGCTCTTGCTTTTACTGGGAAATCAACAGAAGTGAATGCCTCTCTAAAATGTGTGTACACTAATGCAAACAGTGTGGAGAACAGAAAGGTTTGGGTTTTTATGCCCAGTTGCAGAGTTACAAGCTCACTGAATCCACAGAGAAGTGGTGTGACAGCATATGACTGTAGTTCTGCAGTTGATACAGGTCCTTTAGCAAGGACAGACCAGGATGACAATGAGAATTGTTCCTTTTATGTGAAGGATCAGTGGGAATGTGAGCGGCTCTGCCATATTAGGAATGAGAGGACAGATCAACATAGATGTTGTTGTAACGGATGTTTCCTACAGACTGCCTGCTCAGAAAGAAACAAATAAGGCCTTCTTCCAATTCTTCCAGGCAAAGCTTCACACTCTCATACCCTTTTGGGGATCTTGAGCCATGCCAACATCCTCTAAAGGAATAACATAGCAGGGCACTGGCAATCTAGGAGACTTGTAGAATATACTGATAATAACTTCTTGACACAAATGGTCAAGGTATCAATGAGGGAGGATGCACTACTGGATGTCATACTTACCAAGGCAGAACTGGTTAAGGATGTGAAGGTCAGATGGCCTTGCTGCAGTGACATCAGGATAGTGGAGAAGTAAACAAGGCAATAACCACACTCCTAAAAAAGACCACAATTCTCACATTTCAGAAAAGTATTTCTTTCCTTCAGGGATCTGCTTGAAAGAATCCCAGGGGAGAAAGTCCTGATGAGAACAGGGAGTCAGTGGAGCTGGTTTATATTCACTGCTTTCAAACTCAAGTATGGTCTGTCCTGGTAAGCAGAAAATCAAGTGGAGCTGGCAAGAGGAATGCATGATTGCCTGACTAGACGAAACCATGAGAAAAAAATATGTACAAGAGGTGGACGTAGGTACAAGTTATCTATGAGGATTAAAGAGAGTATTTGAATTCTGCAGAGATGGAGAAAGGATATCTCACCTGAAGCTGACTGTAAAGGGCATCAAGAAGGATATCTATAGGTAAAAAACAAATAGACTAAGAAAAATATGCTGACTAGTTAAGGCAACTGCTGCCTCAGTCGTTGCTTCAAGGACTTAGTTTCAGAAATCCTAGACCCCTGAGATACACAAGAAAGTCAGGAGCAAGGAAGCCATACTCTCTGTGGATGCACATGACGTTGGAGTACTTTGAAACAAATTGGATATACGCAAGTACATGGGACCTGATGGGTGTACATCTACGAGTTCTGAGGATGTTGGCTGACATCACTGCAATTATTTTCAAAATATCATGGGAATTGAGGAAAATTCCTGAGAAATGAATGAAAACAAAATTGCTATCTTCAAGGAAAATCCAGAGAAGTGCAGGCCAGGTGGCTTCACTTAGGCCCATGGGAAGGTGGTAAAACCTCCAAACAAGCACATCCTGGGTTACATTAAGATTGTTGCCTGCAGGTTGAGGAAAAAGAAATTCTTCCTCTCTACACAGCATTGGAAAGGCGAAACTGAAGTATTATGTCCACTTGCTACAATAATGACACAGACTTTGTGAAGCAAACCCAGCAAAGGGCTATGGCAGTGATGAAGAGATTGGGGCATCTGTTACACAAAGAGAAGCTAAGAAAGCTGAAATTGCTTTTTCTAGAAAGAAGAAGGCTCAGAAGGGTCTTGTCTGACAGGAAGGGCCAAAGAAGACAGAGATTCTTCTCACAGAGGAAATTCCATTTAAATACAAAAGAAAGGATTTTTACCACAAAGGTGATCGAACATTGGAATACACTCTGGCATAAGAAACTGTTTCCTCATAGAAAACAGTTGCTTCTGATGTTGCCTGATGAGAATGAACAATCAGAACATCAATCATCACAATTAGAATAGCTTCTAGACATTAATCATCAAAGTTTGGCAGGCAAAGCACTCAATTGTGATGATCAAATCATCACAAAATCCAGGCTCCAGGAAGGTGTGAAGAGAGTCTGTAGAAAAATGTTATGTAGCTAAACAAACATGGCCTGATGTGACATTAATCATCTACTGAATGTCATAAAAGAAGGGCTTTGATTGTTTGTTTTGAGGATGTTCTTTTCTTCCTCTTTTTCTGTTTTTATGGATTAAGTTTTATCAGAACAATAGATTTTTTTACACTTTGCTTTCAGATCAGTGGAAAAGATGTTTTTCTTTTCAGTCATAATAATCTTGATCCTCCTGAGAAAAGCATAGAAACAAAATAAAACTGCAGTCTGAAGAGAAGCACTATAAAAATCTTCATTTGCTCTCCCATATACATCCAAATTATATAAAACACTAGTTGGATATTATTTGTTTATGGCTCAACTAGATTGCCAGCAGTAAGGCTAATGCTTGGAAAACTACTTAAAAATGCATTCTAATAGTTATTTCTTTCAGAAACAAAAAGGTACTGATCCACCTACCTACAAAATCTAATACTAGGAAATGCTCAGAGATTGAAAAGCCATCTCTATGTCCTGAAATGGCTCAGCAAGTCAAAAAGTTTAAAACATTTCTTCAGAACAAAACCCAAGACTTTAAAACT